TTCAGGATCCCGGGTGAGTCAAGACAGGCTCTGGCACGGGGATGAGGAAACCTCACCTCTGCCAGCCTCCTGTGAGACTGCTTCTATTTTGGCCTGTCCTGTGCTCCCTGGAGCCGCGGAGGAGAAATTTAAGAAAGGTGGAGAGAGAAGAAAAGCAAAAACTGAAGGTGCCGGCGCCAACCCTGAGAAGGGGGACAGGAGCCGGAGCACAGCAGCTGCTGGAGTGTGGCGCTGCAGACGGCGCAATCTGCCGCCCCATTTGTTGATCTCGCACGCCATGCTTCAGTTGGCACCGCGGCTGCCAGGCGCCGCCCCCTCCTGTTTTCATCCAAGACAGGGAAGGCGGCTTGCGACAGCGTTAACTCTTCCTGCCCTGCAGCCTGGAGCTACTTGCTGGGTCAGGTTCCGGCCCCTCGGCCCCCATGAGGATCCACAGAGATACTCGATCCAAGAGTTGGGGTGGGAGGATGAGGGCATTTTTAGACAAGGGAAAGTGGCACTTAGTCTTCCCGGAGGACACCGCATGTGGCCAGGGGCAGAGGTCATTTGAATTCTGAAGAATGACGCTCCCTAAGAAACCTGCTTTTACCTACAACCAGGGATCTGGTCTAAATACTCCTGGCACGTCAGCGCTGGTGGAGGCGGTGGGGCAGAGCTGGGGATGCCTCCTGAGTTAGACAAAGAGAAACGCAAGGCTGGAGGGAAGGAACGAGGCCCAGGAGGAAAAACACAGGCGAGCATCCTGAGAAAGTGGCTGTGACCTTCTAGGAGGTAAAGCAGTGAGTCCCGCTCATGATTTAGGGGACAGAATGCAACTTTTTTTTTTTTTGAGTCAGAGTGTCACTTTGTTGCCCAGGCTGGAGTGCAGTGGCACGCTCACGGCCACCTCGACCTCCTGGACTCAGGCGATCCTTCCGCCTCAGCCTCCTTAGTAGCTGGAACCACAGTCATGTGCCACCACGCCGGGCTAATTTTGGATTTATTGCAGAGACGAGGTCTCGCCAAGTTGCCCAGGCTGGTCTCGAACTCCTGGGCTCAAGCAATCCTCCTGCCTCCACCTCCTAAAGTGCTGGGATTACCAGCGTGAACCACCACGCCCAACTACAGGATGCAATTGTTGATGAAATTCCTTAAGAAACCATTTAAAGTCACACAAAATGTCTTTCCTGCCTTATTGAACGTGCTTTTGCGGACATGGGAGAAGAGCAGAGTCCAGGAAATGTGGCAGAGTCCAAAATGTGTCAGTGTCACCACAGTCAAGTTGGGGGGAGAGACTGCCATTGGGATCATAAGAGAGGCTGAATAGCTTTGTTCAGATTGCTGAGTGGGAGTCATCATTCCGTGAATTAGTAACTTGTATATACAAATGCTTAGGCCAGTGCCTGGCACATCATGACTACTGTGTATTTGTTGCTGCTACTACCATTATTACTAGTTATTACAATTTTCAGAACTAGAACTCATACAGACCGTCTTTAATTAGGAAACATGTGCCGACATTTGCATGAAAACTTTGCTCATAATCTTCATCTTAGAAAATGCAAAATGGAATTTTCCTTTAAGGGGCTTAATTCTTGGAAATACCCTCTGTCCAGGCTGGAAAATGGATTTTCTGCTCTTCTTTGGGGTTTGGCTACCACCTTGGTGCCCCCCCTTGCAGAGCTAGGGCAGGGGCCTTTGCTGGCAGGAATTACTTGGAGTAGCCCTCGGATTTATGTGAAGTAGGATTTGAGTATGAAAATCCAATGGTATGTGCTTGGTTTAGATTTCAGACCCACAGGCATCAGTTTCTTTAGGGAACAATCAGGTGACCAAAGAATAAGAAAACAACCCCAGATCCAAGAAGGAGATTGCCCCAGGTGCTCTCTCAAGATGCCCCTTGCCCCTGTTTACCCACCCTGCTCCACCCCTCCACATATATCGCATTTCACAGCCTCCAGGGCTGAACTCAGATACCTTCCTGCTGACTGCACTGACCCCTCCACTGTTCACTGAGCATCCTTTGTGTCCTCTTTTCTTTATTGAGTCGGGGTCTCACTCTGCTGCCCAGGCTGGAGTGCAGTGGCACCATCATGGCTTACTGTAGCCTCCACCTCCTGGGTTCAGGTGATCCTTCCATCTCAGCCTCCTGTGTAGCTGGTACTACAGGTGAGCACCACCACGCCTGGCAAAATTTTTTCTTCTGATTTTTTTGTAGAGACGAAGTCTCACCATGTTGCACAGGCTGGTCTCAAACTCCTGGTCTCAAGTGATCCTCCCACCTCAGCCTCCCAAAATGCTGGGATTACAAGCTTGAGTCACTGCACCCAGACACATCCTCTTTTCTAAACTCTTCTAAGACTATTGGGTTTGTCCTACAGAGTTTACTGCTGTTAGTTAGCATTTTACTGATAAGACATGAAAAGGGTTGAAAACAATACCTGAATGTTACCTAGTACAATTTAGGCTCTGCCTGTTTTATCTCATGTTATCTCACAGTACAAATGTTTTCCCCATTTTGCAAATGAGTTACTGGAGGCACAGAGAGACTGAGGACATTAACCTGTATGAGGACATTCACCTGTGTGAGCACAGCTCACCTGGGATTCATAGTCCTACTCTGTCGGTTTTCTTTTTCACTCTTTGACCCTTTGCTGTTTCTCCACATACGTGGGCTTTGTCTTCTTAACAGGCAACGCACTCATCAGAGCACTGTTTCTCATATGTGTTTATTTGTGTGTATCCCCTGTTATCAAGCCCTGTCATTAAGAGATGATCTGGGGACCAGCCAGGCACAGTGGCTCACGCCTGTAATTCCAACATTTTGGGAGGCCAAGGCAGGAAGATTGCTGAAATGCTAGAGCTTGAGACCAGCCTGGGCAACATAATGAGGCTCTCCGTTTATTTAAAAGAAGGAAGGATGGGAGGGAGGGAAAAGAAAGAAAAAGAGAGAGGGAGGGAGAAAAGGAAGGAAGAAAGGAAGAAAGGAAAGAAAGGGAAAGAAATAAACAAATAAGTAAATAAATAATCTCCTCCTAAGTGGAAGACCGCCATGACTGCTTGAATGCTATAAGTCAAAATGTTTCTGAAAATGAGCTCTCTCCTGGACCAGCTCCGGTTTTTGCCACAGTGTTAGGCTCTGTCCTTTCTTAATGGTTGGCAAATTGTTCCCAGCTGCACAAGCTGCAACCTGGCTTCTTCTCAGGGAAAGCTCTTTTTTTTTTTTTCTTTTTTTTAAGAACAGGCAGGATCAAGTTGGTTTGGGCAGAGCAGTCCTAAGCAAATCCACAAGTTGTCCTTCGTCCTCGACCCTCTGCAGTCCCTTTGACACACCCAATGCCTTGTTCTGCCCTCCCCATGTCCCACCTGGACCTGCGTTCTTTGATGAACATGTGCCTGGCCTTCTGCCCTTTGTCCCCGTTCCTTGAGGTTGCTGCTAACTACTAATAAGATAAACAGAGTCAGGTTTATCTTATTAGGTTTATGGTTATCCCATTTGGTGATATATTTGCATTTCAAAAGGAGATAATTTTCCAGCTATTCTGCAAGAAGGCCAGGCAGAGGAGGACACACACTAGGTGACACCCCATGAGGGAGGCAAAGTTTGGTGTAGAAAGGACTCTAGGGTCTGAGTAAACCTGGGTTCAAATCCTAACTTCACCTCTCATCAGCTGTGTGACCTGGGCAGCTTCCCCCAGTCCCAGTTTCTTGTGTATAAAATGACACAGTGCTTGGCACAATAAATATTAGCACCCAGGCCGGTGGCGGCCCCTCAGTGAGTATTCCTGTCCCGTGTCCTCCTCTCTGGGGACCCTCATCACTCATGGGGAAGGCTGGTCTGTGCGTTGTTGTCTAACTAAAAGTATAATGACTTCTGTGTCTTATTGAATCTTGAAATGTTCTCACTTGGGGTTTTGGGGGTGGGGTTTGAGTAGGAGTCTCACTCTGTTGCCCAGGCTAGAGTACAGTGGCACGCTCACAGCCAATGCAGCCTCCACCTGCTGAGCTCAGGCAATCCTTCCGCCTCCGCCTTCTAAGTAGCTGGAACTACAGGCGTGCACCACCATGCCCGGCTCATTTTTTGATTTATTGTAGAGATGAGGTCTTGCCATGTTGCCCAGGCTGGTCTTAAACCCCTGGGTTCTGGCAGTCCTCTTGCCTCAGCCTCCCAAAATGCTAGGATTACAGGCGTGAGCCACCTCACCCTACTAGCTTGGGATTTTTTTAAACATTCTAAACTCAGGAAATATACCCCATATACAGAAAAGTGCATGAAACACATATGCACAATTTAGCAAATAGTTACTGGCTAAATATCATTATTGACCTCACCCTGGTCAATAATTGGCAGGTACTGCCTTGAAATGGTAAATGTATCTAACACAGTGCTTCTCACTAGGGCCCATTTTGCCCCCAGGAGACATTTAGCCATTTTGGCTGTCACATCTGGAGAGGTACTGGCATCTAGTAGGGAGAGGCCCCAGATGTGGCATAACGCCCTGCAATGCATGGGACAGACCCCCACAACAAAGAACAATCCGGCCCCAACTGACAATTGTCCCTAGATGAAGCAACCCTGTGGTCACACACCCACTTAGAAACGCCTGATTTTAGGAACGCAATGCTTCAGCAGGAGATGAATTTTTAGGAAGAGATCTGGATGCTCAAGAAACCTGTTATCGTCAACACTTTGACTTCCATGACACATTTTTAGTAATGCTGTCCCACTCAACCAATTGTTCTCTGAAGGAAAAAAAAAGGCCAGCCAGGATTTCAGATGAAGGATCTGGTTAATAGACCTTGCTGACAGGTCCGTCAGTTTGTCTTCTGTTGTTGCCAAGTGCTTTTAATCTCCCCTGTCAATGTGCACCCATCTTGGGAAGCAAATACTGTACAAGTGAGAAGCCAGGCACGTTCAGTTTTTCTATTAATTAAACTGTGAATAAATTAAGTTCATTCTTCTTCCCAACAATGCATCCCAGCCCCCTTGCACTTGTAACTCTGTCTCTCGTTTCTTGCAGGATTTAGTCATTCGCATTGTTTTTATTCTTGGCAACCTGACAGCGAAAAACAACCAGGCTCGGGAGCAGTTTTCCAAGGAGAAAGGAAGCATCCAGACCCTGCTGTCATTACTCCATACATTCCACCAGCTGGATCTGCGTTCCCAGTCGCAGGGGGGTGAGGAAGGCCGGCAGCCCAAGGAGCAAAGGTCCCCGACAGAGGCCGAGGACGTGCTCATCAAGCTGACGCGCGTGTTGGCCAACATCGCCATCCACCCGGGTGTGGGCCCCATGCTGGCCACCCACCCGCGAGTCGTGGGCCCGCTCCTGACCATGCTAGGTGAGACCCAGGCCCAGCTGGCTGCAGCCCACACCCGGCCTCCTCAGCAGCACAGGAGGGTTACTTGAAAGAGTTCTAGCTATGTGAAGACAAATTCCTCTTCTGTTCAGAACTGCCTTAAAAGTAATCCAGGTTTAAAAAGGAAAGAAGGAAAGGAAGAAGAAAGGGAAGGAAACGTATAGATTATTACTAAAACCCACTAAATTGCCCACTTTATAAGGGTGAATTTTATGGTTTGTGAATTATATAGCAATTTTTAAAAAGTATATGTGTCAAATGAACAAAATTTTACCAAACTAACCACAAAGAGTTTAAAATCCCAAATTTAGCCAGGTGTGTTGGGTCATGCCTGTAATCCTAGCACTTTGGGAGGCTGAGGCAGGAGGATTACTTGAGCTCAGAAGTTGGAGACCAGCCTGGGCAACACAGCGAGACCTCTTCTCTTAAAAAAAAAAATTTTAAAAATTAGCCAGACATGGTGGTACACACCTGTAGTCCCAGCTACTCAAGAGACTGAGACAGAAGGATTGCCTGAGCCTGGGAGATCAAGGCTATGGTGAGCTGTGAGGATGCCACTGCACCTTAGCCTGGGGGCCAGAGGCTATAAATAAGATATAAATAAGATAAAAATAAATTTATTTATATTAAAGCAGGATTTATTAAGAGGACAGAAAAGCTCCCACAGTGGGAGGGGACCCAGAGAGGTTGCCCATACAATTTATTTTAACTTTTAAAAATGTATTTTAATTTAAGTTTGTTTAATTGAGATTTTAATCCCAGATTTTTCCTGGGTTAAGCCATATGATTAAAATTCACTTCTCTTTTTCCTTCAGGTTCTTACATTATTTGTAATTATGGCCCCCAGTCATTCAGGTCCTATCTTCCCCCTTGTATCAGCTCGGGCTGCTAATACCATAGATTGGGCAATTTAAACAATAGAAATTTATTTATCATGCTTATGGAGCCTGGGAAGTTCAAGATCATGGTACTAGCCAGTTCTGTTCCTGGTGAGGGCTCCTCTTTCTAGCTGACAGCCAGCCACCTACTTTGCTGTGTGCTCCCAGGGACTTTCCTTGGTACAAGGACTTGGGGTTGGGAATGATCCCTCCCTCTCCCTTTTCCTCTCTCTTTCTCTCTCTCCCCCTTTCCCTCTTCCTCTCTGTCTCTCTCTCTCTCTCTCTCTCTCTCTCTCTCACTCTCTCTCACTCTCTTACCCGCCTCCTCCTCCTCTTATGATGTCACCAACCCCATCAGATTAGTACCCCACCCTTAAGAGCTCACTGAACCTAATATACCTCTTAAATATCCTATCTCCAAATATAATCATACTGGGGGCTAGGGCTTCAACATATTAATGGGGGGGGGGGTCACAATCTAGTCCCCAGCACTCCCTTTCCACTTTTTTAGATCTGTCATTTCCCACAGGCACCTCTGCCTGCTGCTATGTAGGGAAATTAACTGCAATCCGGGGTAATCAATTTAGCAGCAACTAACCAGACTCATGAAAGATATTGTGGTTGTGGAAGGAAGTTTAATGCCTGACAAAAATGATGTTTTGGAGAAGTATGTGAAACCTTTGAACTGTCCCCACCTCACTATTCAATTTAAGAGTCATTTATTGAGTCCATGCCACAAATCAATCCTCTGCTGTGTATTCCAGTCTGTTTTAGTCTGCTCAGACAGCCATAACAAAATACCATAAATTGGGCAGCTTAAATGACAGAAATTTATTTCCTCATGGTCCTGGAGACCGGAAGTCCAAGATCAAATTGCCAGCGGGGTTGGTGTCTGGTGACAGCTCTCTCCTTAGCTTGTGGATGACAACCCTCACTGTGTCCTCACACAGCAATGACAGTGTGCGCTGGGGTCTCCTCCCTTCTTATAAGGGCCCTGCCCTCATGATCTCATTTAATCTTTATCACCTCACAGGACCTGTCTCCAAAAATAGTCACACTGAGGGGCAGGGCTTTCACATATGAATTTTGGGGTGACTCAGACATCCAGTTCCTAAGGTCTTGATAATGTAGCTAGTTTCTGCTCTCAAGAAACTTGACATCTAGAGCCGAGGACTGTCAGGTGCAGGCAAGAACCCCACAGCTTCTGAGAAGAGCCACTTCACAGACGAGGAAACAGGCTCAGTGGGCTATAGTGACTTTTCGCAGAGTCAGCGAGTCCCAAGCCTATGTTCCCCTGTTCTACAGAGTGCATGTCACCAATTTTGAGAAAGGCTCTACATTCTGACTGAATTACTACACTTCCATGTAACCACTCAGGAGTCTACATATCATGTTAGTCTTGAACTCTTTTCCCAGCTGCTAAATGCACGTTAAGCCCCGTGGAAGAATGTGTATGTGACTGGGACAGAAATCCAGTCTCTGCAACAACCCGAACACTTCAACCTTTGAATTGTCAGGTTTCCCTGTCTGCTGGCACTCCTGCCCCTTCAAGGGTGGGCTTCTCGGTCCAGGGCCAGAAATAGGACTGTAAAAATGCCATGAGAGCCTTCAAATCACCCCTGCCCCAGGTGAGCTTCTGCCCATTAATTGCTGAGACCCAGTGCTTCAGGGAGCCAGGGAGCCATAAGCCTCTCTGACTCTAGCCAAACCAGTAGAGACCTGACCCCTACTGGGTGAGTCCACATCTGCTGCAGGCTTCCTCCTGTTACCTGACCGTGTCTACCTGGGAAGGGCCTGAGGCCCAGACCTCAGATACTTGGATTGGAGTCCCATGACTGTGGACAGCCAAGTGATGGGGCATGATTCATTTTCCCACAGTCGTTAATATTCACATATATGAGGAGGGACCCCCAAAACCCAGAATTATCTTTTGGAGGGTGGGCCCCTTGTGGTACAGGCTTCCCTGCTAGGTGAATGTTCTAGGAACCTATCGGCATCAGTGTATCAGCCAGTGTTGCTGGGAGGGGCTGCGTTCGATTTCAATGAATTTTTTTTGGTGGGGGAGGGAGATTCTTTTAACATGTTTGCCCATCTCATGATGGGTGATTTACAAGCACATGTGCCCACACTGCACTGAGTGTTCAGCAGTTTTTGACCAAAGATGGCGAGACCCTTTGCCCCACCCTCCCTATTCACCTGATCTCACCCCATGACTTGTTTTTTTTTGTTGTTTCCTGGATGAAAAACATCCTCAAGAGGAAACATTTTGCCGATGTGGAAGAGGTGAAACAAAAAGTGGCAGAAGCGCTAAAATGAATGAGTTAAAAAAACTGTTGTCAGCTATGGAAAAAGCACTCGATAGCTGTATTGCATTCAACAGAGAGTCAATTCCAGGTTTTTTGGGTCCCCCCATAAAGTTGGAAAATTTCTGGTCTTATAAATATTTGATGAACTGAGAAATTACATTTCTGCCTATAAACTAAAGGTAGAATGAATAACTTGCTCTTGACTCCAAAGAAGGTGATACCTTGGGACAGGAGAAAGAGGCTTGGAAACAGATTAGACCCAAGATAAAAGGGTTAACTCCAGCGAGCTCAGGACCCCTGACTCTCCTCCTTAGGAGGCCTTGGGGCCTGCCCCGCTCATGCGCCACTGCCACCATCAAATGCTCTGGGAGAGCAGGTGCTCTGCTCTGGGCCTGAGGGGACATCTGGACGAGGCCTCTCCTGTATCCCCCTTGATGTCACCGGATCTCAGGAGTAGCCAACTTTTCTTATTTTGCTCTTAGGCAAAGAAGCCCTAATCTAGCAAAACTCTAATCTAGTGGTTTTCAAATGTCTGTGCACATAAGACTTATGCAGGCCCTTATTAAAAACACATTCAGCTGGGCGCAGTGGCTCACGCCTATAATCCCAGCACTTTGGGAGGCTGAGGTGAGAGGATTGCCTGAGCCCATGGGTTCGAGACCAGCCTGGGCATCTTGGCGAGGCCTCATCTCTTCAGTAACTCAAAAAATTAACCGGGCATGGTGGCACGTGCCTATAGTTCCAGCTACTGAGGCAGAAGGATTGCCTGAGCCTCATGGGTTGAGGATGCAGTGGCCGTGAGTGTGCCACTGCCCTCCAGCCTGGGTGACAGAGTGAGACTCCAACTCAAAAAAAAACAAAAACAAAAACCACACAGATTCTTTTTTTTTTTTTGAATTGGGGTCTCGCTTTATTACCCAGGCTAGAGTACAGTGGCACGATCATGGCTCACCAAAGCCTCAACCTCCTGGGCTCAGGCGATCCTTCCACTTTAGTCTCCTGAGTACCTGGGACAACAGGTGTGTGCCACCACACCCAGCTAATTTTTAAAATATTTTATATTGTAGAAACGAGGTCTCACCGTGTTGCCCAGGCTGGGCTCAAACAATCCATCCACCTCAGCTTCCCAAAGTGCTAGGTTTACAGCTGTGAGCCACTGTGCCCTGCAAAAACACAGATTCTTGTTCCTATCCTCAGATGTTGAGATTTATCAGGTTAGGTGTGGGGCCCAGGAATCTGATTTTTTTGAGACAGAGTCTCTCTCTATCACCCAGTCTGGAGTCCCGTGGTGCAATAACCTTAAAGTCCTAAGCTCAAGGCATCCTCTTGCATCAATCTTCTGAGTAGCTAGGACTACAGGCATGCGCCATCACACCTGGCTGACTTTACTTTTTGTAGAAACGGGGTCTCGCCATGTTGCTCAAGATGGTCTTGAACTCCTGACCTCAAGCAATCCTTCTGCCTTGGACTCCCAAAATGCTGATTACAGATGTGAGCCACCACCCCTGGCTGAATATGTACTTCTGAAAACTCCCTGGCTGGTCCTGTTGCAGGGGGTTGAAGCTTCCCTCTGAGAAATGCTTTCGTCTCTGCAGTGTTGGACCTTGATACTGTGTGAGGTTGAACAAGAGTGGGAAAAACCTTGCTCTCGGATGACCAGTCAGGGCCTCTCACCTGCCACACCTTGGACAAGTGTCTGGGCAAGCAGGTGACCCCTTGTATAGTCTATCTCCTGAAAGATCTTATCTCCAAATAAAAGCTTATGTGGAGGTAAGGGCCACCCTTGACAGGGGATCACCCACCTCCACCTTCCCCTTATGCAACCCAACTGCCAGTAAACATCTGAGCTGTCCAAGCCTTCTCACGCTGGTCTCTGCTACTTTCCTGCCTGTTTCATCCGTTCATCCCAGAACGGCGATCACATTCCGGGACAGGGTCCTGTCCCCTCCACCAGGCAACCCAAGGCCACCACCATGCTGTGGCTCTGTGGCTACAGAAAGGGCCTGCTCCCTCTCTGGTTGTGCCCACTGAGGTCAGAGCAGCTGCTGTCCTGTTTGTCCTCTTCTCCCAGCCTGAGGCTCCTCCTACGTGGTCCCCTTCCATCACTTGGGAGAGGCATCCCTTTGGGTTGTTTTCTCCCCACCCTTTCCCAGCACTATACCCTTCACAAAGAAACTGCTTGTACCCCAGGACTCACCTAGAGCAGAAGTCTTATTGCAGAGGGTCTTTGAGAATTAAACATGTTTCTAGCAAGAACCAGCCCTCTTGCCCAGCGTAGTGACTCACACCTGTAATCTCAGCACTTTGGGAGGCTGAGGCAGGAGGATTGCCTGAGTCCAGCTGGTTGAGGCTACAGTAGCCGTGATCAGGTCACTGCACTCCAGCCTGAACAACAGAGTGAGACTACGACTCAAAAAAAAAAAAAAGATAAGGAAAAGAAAGGAAGGAAGGGAGGGAGGGAGGGAGGGAAAAGAGGAAAGGAAAGAACAGAAAAGAAAAAATAACCAGCCCTCTCAGAGAGATCCTAGACTCAGAGATTTGTTGACTTAGTGGCTAGCTCCAAATTCCAGATTTTCACAAGTTAGTTCCAGAGGAAGGTGTGGTTCTCTTGTGTGTTTTTGGAAATAGAATACTGCCCCAGCCAGCTCTAATGGGAACCCAGCAACACCGGTCCTTGGCCTCATCAGGGGCTTTGGAAAGAGAACATTAAGGATGGATAGACCTGGATTCAACGTCTATTTTGCAGAGTCAGGCAATGTATTTTACTTCTCTTAGCCTTGGTGCTCTCATCTGATTGCCACCCCAAATTTATCTGTTGAAGTCCTAACCCCCAGTGTGATGGTATTTGGAGATGGAGTCTTGGGAAAATGATCAGGTTTAGATGAGGTCACAATGTGGCCCTCATGTTGGGATTATGGTGCCCTTGTAAGAAGAGACACCAGGGGTCTCCTTCTCTCCCCGCAACGTTAGGATGCAGGGAGAAGGCAGCCATCTGCAAGTCAGAAAGATCCCCAGATCCTGACCATGCTGGCACCTTGATCTTGGACTTCCAACCTCTAGAACTGTGAGAAAATAAATTCCTACAGGTTCAAGTCATCCAGTTTATGGTATTTTGTTATGGCAGCCCAAGATGACTGAGACAGGTACACCTCTGGAGAATTAATTATTGTAAGTTTCAATGCTTGTAAGTGCATTCAAGGCATTATTAGTAATTAACTTCCACGAGGTTACATGTGTTCAAGCGCCTGTTACTGTTCATGATAAATGCTTATAGATAGATGCCAGGGGCCATTCCTGCTGCTTGAACATGGGGCCCCACATGGAGGAAGTAGAGACAGGTAACAGCAACCCTGTTTCTGGGCAAGCTATGACCTCTCCTACCAAGCTAAGAGAAAAACAAATCCCCAAACGGGCTCAAGATCTGGTGTTGTCAGTCAGGGTGTAGAGGGAAGGAGGGCTGCAGGCCCTCCCTTGCACGAGGGTTAGACATTCGCCTGAGTCACTCCCTGTGAGCTATCATTCTGGGGGCCCTGCCTATTCATTTAACAGACACTCAGCAGTCACAATGTGCTATGCCTCATTTTAAGCCCTTTACAAATATGAATGCAGCTAAACTTCCTAACCACGTTATAAGGCGGATGCAATGATCAACCCCATTTTGCAGTCAAGAAGACTGAATCCCAGGGAGGTTAAATAACTTGAACAAAATCACATGACCAGGGAGTGGCAGCACCAGGATTCTGGCTCCAGAGTCGTGGCCAAAACAAGTGTGGATGCTTTAGGGGTCCTGTGTCCTTTCTTTTACCATAGGTCCCCCCAAAACCTGAGACCACTCGGATATTTCCTTGCTGTAGATTCCATACAGAAGTCCAAGGTAGATAGGTGCAGTGGCTCACGCCTATCATCCCAGCACTTTGGGAGGCAGAGGCAAGAGGACTGCCTGAGCCCAGGGGTTTGAGACCAGCCCAGGCAACTTGGCGAGACCTCATCTCTACAATAAATTTAAAAATATTAACTGGGCGTGGTGGCGCAAGCCTGTGGTTCCAGCTACTTGGAAGGGTGGCCTGAGCCCTGCATATACTGCAGGTCAAGGCTGCGGTGGCCATGATCATGCCACTGCACTCCAGCCTGGGGTGACAGCGTGAGATCCTGACTTATAAACAAACAAACAAAAAAGGGAAGTCCAAGCTAATTCAGTTCCTTATTCCCTTCCTATGTACTTAAACTAAAACACAGGCAGTCAGGGCCTCTTTCTTTCTCCAAGTATCCATCAAGTGTCTACCAGGTGCTGGGCCCATGTGGGTTACTGGGGGTGGGAGGGGGCTGCCAGCAAAAGGGCCAGTATGTGTTCTGCTGTCTGACAGATGGCTGCGTTTTCCTTTGAATGTGGTAAGTTATAAAAAGGCTGTTCATTTAATGAAAATGACAAGAAGACCAAGAGGGGCAATCATTAAGTGGGAGAACTTGAGGGCTAGCCTCGTCCGCTCCCTCAGCTCAGAGACCCCAGCCTGTTCCCTGAGAAGCTTTGGTTTCCTAAGAAAGGGGATAGGGCCTAGATCTGCTTGGCTTTTCCAGAGCTGCTGGCTGCAAGGATTGAGCTAGGAGTGTCCTCCTGGCCCTAGCCTTGTATTCGGTGCATTTCCCTGCAGGAAGAGTCACAGGAAATAAAGCAGCAAAAAAATAAATAAAACAGCAAATGTGCACCAGGGCCTTTGCATAGTCCTTGTCCAGGAGCATGGCTTGTTGCCGGCACTGCTGTTGCTGTCTTGACTATCATTGGTCCGACCCTGCAGTGCACCCCTTTGTCCTCACTTTGTTTCAGAATACAAATCACTGGATGATTGTGAGGAGCTGGTGATCAACACAGCAACAACAATCAACAATTTATCTTACTACCAAGTGAAGAATTCCATCCTTCAAGACAAGAAGCTGTATATTGCTGAATGTAAGGTTCAGAGTTGGGTGTGGACAAACAAATGTTCCTTGAAGGTTTTGATTTTACGAACTAAACACAGACTAGAGTGTCTTCTGGCTTCTGGTACAAATATCTTAGATCCTGATTTGATTCTAAGATATTGGAACTTGGGGAAATTAAAATCTGGGAGAAACTCTTAGTTCTTGCTGAAGTCCTTTATGATTTGTACTTTATTATTTTAAATTTTTTATTGTCACTTTTATTTTTGGAAACTTCAGAATTGATATTAGAATCATTTTTAAGTTTAAGTTATCAGTATTTAGTATGATATTAGTTCCCAGTAGTGCTCCAATTAAAACTCCAATTCACTGATGATTTTCCTCTGGTCACCACATCCAGTGCTCTTAAAGCTTCTCATGAGTAACAACATGGACGGAGTCCTGGAGGCTGTGCGTGTTTTTGGAAATCTCTCCCAGGACCCCGAGGTCTGCGATTTCATTGTGCAGAACAATGGTGAGTTAATGACACTTGAAGTTCATGAACACACACTTCTTGCCAATAATCAGCTAAGTGGTTTCGGAGCTTGGGTCATGACGATGTCATATTTTTTTCTGCTTTGAGTTACATGGTGCTTTATGATATGCTCTGAACGTAAGGCTCCTTGCTCAGGATGCCAGTATAGACTAAGGCCTTGCCCTTGGGAATGGCCTTCTGTGTTCTGAGATGGAGTGTGTGTGTGTGTGTGTGTGTGTGTGTGTGTGTGTGTGTGTGTGTGTGTGTGTGTGTGTTTAACGGAAACAAATCATCTGCACTCATTACTTCTGCCCTTGGGAGTAGACTCAAGAGATTTCTTCTTTTGTGTACCAGAATATCTTTATATTTCACTGGTAATAGCCAAAAGTGGAAACAGCCTCAACGTGCCCCCAACAGCCAAGAGGATAAATGCATGCAATACAGTGTTCTGCCGCATTTAAAATAAATGCATGAGGCTGGGCATGGCGGCTCATGCCTGTAATCTCAGCACTTTGGGAGGCCAAGGTGGGAGGATTGCTTGAGCCCAGGAGTTCAAGATCAGCCTAGGCAACATAGTGAGACCCTGTCTCCACAAAAAATTAAAAAATTAGCCAGCTGTGGTGGTGTGTGCCTGTAGTCCCAGCTACTCAGGAGGCTGAGACAGGAAGGTCACCTGAGCTACTAAGAAGGTTGAGGCTGCAGTGAGCCATAATTGTGCCAGTGTACTCTAGCCTGGGTGACAGAGTGAGACCTGACTCAAAATCGATCAATTAATTAAATAGAATAAATAAAATAAATGCATGAGACATTCACATTTCAACATGGATCATTATTGTATACATAATGCAGCCAAAGAACTGGCCACAAGAGAACATATATTGAAGAAAGCCACCAGTATTTGTTTCAAAACATGCAAAGCCATCCTGGGCTTATACATATGTGTTCATGTAGTAATGGCATCAAGTATAAATAGTATTTGGAAATGATAAACTCTGCATTTATGACAGAGTTCACAGCCGGGCTCGGTGGCTCAGCCTGTAATCCTGCGCCTTTGGGAGGCTGAGGTGAGCGGGCTGCCTGAGCCCGCGGGTTCAAGACCCGCCTGGGCAGCAAGACCTCATCTCTACAATAAATCCAAAAATCAGCCAGGCGTGGTGGCACATGCCTGTAATTCTGGCTACTCGGAAGGCTGAGGCGGAAGGATCGTCGGAGCCCAGCGGATCAAGGCTGCAGTGGCCGGGAGTGGCCACTGTACTCCAGTCTGGGCAACAGAGTGAGACTCCAACTCAAAAAAAAAAAAGACAGAGTTCACCTTTGATTTGAAAGGACTGTTTAAAAACGTAACATTGGATCTGCAAATGCTTTATTATCAACAAATAAGAATTGTATAAATTCATCATGTACAACATGTTGTTTGGAATGTGATGTTTTCTTTCTTTTTTTTGAGTTGGAGTTTCATTCTGTTGTCCAGGCTGGAATGCAGTGGCACACTCACAGCCACCCCAGCTTCTACCTACTTGGCTCCAGCGACCCTTCCACCTCAGCCTTCCAAGTAGCCAGAACTACAGGCGCGCACTACCATGCCTGGGTAATTTTTTATTTATTGTAGAGATGAGGTCTCACCAAGTTGCCCAGCCTGGTCTTGAACCCATGGGCTCAGGAAATCCACTCATCCAGGCCTCCCAAAGTGCTGGGATTACAGGCTGAGCCACCGAGCCTGGCCATGTTTTATTTCTTAAACTGGTGGCAGTTACCCAAGTGTTTTTACTAATCATACTCTGTGTGTGTCTCAAATATTCCATCTAAGAATAATAACTTGGGAGGCAGAGGTGAGAGGATTGCCTGAGCCCAGGGTTCAAGACTAGCCTGGGCAACTTGGTGAGACCTCACCTCTACAATAAATCCAAAAATTAGCCAGGCATGGTGGTACATGCCTGTAGTTCCAGCTACTTGCAAGGCTGATGCTGAAACCCAGCAAGTCAAGACCTAAGCCCAGCAAGTCAAGACTGCAGCAGCTGTGCCACCTGCACTCCAGCCTGGGCAACAGTGCGACTCCAACTCAAACAAGCAAACAAACAAACAAACCTTAATTATCCATGTTCATGACAGCAAATTCTGATAATATAGATTTTAAAAGCAGCAGCAAACTGTCATCCATTATCACGCTAGCCCGGAAATAACCATTCCCATGGTGGTGTGCATTGCTTAGACTCCCACAGGCACACATGTATGTGACACAGTCTTTGTCAAGCTCATGGCCCAGCCCAAGCCACGGAGCTGAGGTCAGAACACAGCACCTGCTCTCAGGTACACAGCGTAATGGGCGGAGGCAGGACGCACACACTGACCACTCGCCCCCAGCCCTTGACTCCGGCCCTGCTGGGGAGTTAAGAAGACAGGCCATACAGTCCTCTGTCTCATTTCCTACTAGTAAGGGAAGGTGACTCCCCGGAGGTAGCAGCCTCTGCACAGCTCGGTTTCCCATGGTCTGAGCCTTATGCATGGCCCTGGGAGGCTTCAAGGATGGTCTCACCAGGAGCTAACTCCCCTCTCCAGAGAGTTGCTGCTGGTGGTTCAAAAAGGCCCTTGAGAACAAGCAGGAGTTAGAGAACCCAGTGTCACCTGGGTTCCCTCCGGTCTGCCAGCTCTGGGAAGGGAGCTGCGTCTGGGTGAGGCTTAGCAGTATCTGGGGAGGGACGCAGCCTCTGGGAGTGATGGGTGTGGGGGAACCCATTGCTGGGTGATGGATGAAGCCTTGGGAAGGAGTTCTGTTCCCTGACAGGGCTTCTCATTTCGCAAGCCACATGCCAGTTTCCCCAGACCATTTGCCAAACAAGAAACTGCTGGAAACCCTGAGCTGTCACTGGTTTGTGTTTTTCTGCCCTCCCAGTACACAAGTTCATGATTGCACTGCTGGATGCTAAGCATCAGGACATTTGCTTCTCTGCCTGTGGTGTTCTCCTAAATCTCACTGTGGATAAAGACAGGCGTGTCATCCTGAAGGAAGGAGGCAGCATTAAAAAGTGAGTTCCGGGCACGGAGTCCCAGCTCTCTCAGGATAAAAGAGGACAGAGTTCTCTGGGGAGCTTGGGCCCCTCTCTTCATTCCTCAGGGCAAAGGTATTTCAACATATGGAAGTCCCAAGTAGGGGCTAAACAGAGGATTTAGGCTCCACTGGACACTTAAAATAGTTCAAAGCAGATTCTGGCTACTTTGTAGCCACTTAAATTTGTAGATGTAAAATTATTTTAAGTGATCACGGAATTATACATAGTACACATTAAATATTACAGCAGGGCCGGGCGTGGTGGCTTAAGACTGTAATCCCAGCAGTTTGGGAGGCTGAGGCAGGAGGATTGCCTGGGTCTGGGGATTCGAGACCAGCCTGGGCAACTTGGTGAGACCTCGTCTCTACGATAAATCAAAAAATTAGCCGGGTGTGGTGGCATGCACCTGTAGTTCCAGCTCGTTGGAAGACTGAGGTGGAAGGATCATCTAAGCCCAGCAGGTCAAGGCTGCGGTGGCCAGAAGCATGCCACTACACTCCAGCCTGGGTTACAGAGTGAGACACTGACTCAAAGATAAATAAATAAATAAATATTACAGAAGGATAATCATCACTCTAAAAATATTAAAGACAGGTTCTAACCTATTAACTTCTCAATTTGATTTTTATTAACTCAGGTTAGTGGACTGTTTAAGAGATTTTGGTCCTACTGATTGGCAGCTGGCCTGCTTGGTTTGCAAAACTTTATGGAACTTCAGTGAAAATATCACTAATACTTCATCATGTTTTGGAGATGAAGATACCAACACACTCTTAGTCCTGCTATCATCATTTTTAGGTAAGACTACTTACTATGATGAGTCTATGAGTTCTATCAGAGTGTGATAAAAAGCATTTCTTCTGTGATCTGTATGGGTAAATGCTGATATGCATTCAGGTGGCTATAGTTCTATAAGATACAAGAGTGTGGTAAAGTTTATATTTTGAATCTATCTGGAAGAGGTCAAATGTTATTTACAATGGGGACAGTAGCACTTGTAACTCATTGGACATTGTCATGATTTCTTCTGTGGCATTTTTGCATTTTTCTGTAAGTGCTTCAATACAAGATCTCAGCATAATTCTATTTTTGTTGTTTAAAAGTATATAAACACTGTTGTAATTGAGAAAATATGGCTAAAACTACTCTGAATAAAGTTATTCTTATAAAAGAATCTGCACATTTCAGTTAGCAGCTGTACTATGAGACTGCTTGGTGGTACAGTGAGGTCCATATCCACAGAGGGTAGGAAATCAGATACAAGCCAAATAAAGAGGATCATGTCTTACATTTAAAATATTTTATATTCTTAGGATAATGTTTTCATCCTGGGTTAATTCTAAAAAGGATGATTTGGGTCAGTAAATGAGGTTTTTTTGTTTGTTTTTTATTTGTTTTAGTCGGACTCTCACTGTGTCACCCAGGCTGGAGTGCAGTGGCACACTCACGGCCACCATAGCCTCGACCTGCTGGGCTTAGGTGATCCTTCCTCCTCAGCCTCCCAAGTAGCAGGGACTACAGGTGTGTGCCACTACACCTGGCTAATTTTTTGAGGTAGAGTCGAGCGAGGTCTTGCCAAGTTGCCCAGGCTGGTCTCAAACCCCTAGACTCAGGCAATCCTCTGGCCTCCACCTCCCAAAGTGCTAGGATTACAAGTTGGGTGTTTTCAATGCTTCTTTCCCAAAAAATGGAGGAGATGTGGCTTTCACAGCCCAGCCTCTGCGAGGCTACTGGCAAGGCTTGGCGTGACTCCAAAGCCCTGGGCTCAGATCCTTCTGGTTCTTGCTGCTGGTGCAACTCAGACACTACCCGTGGTGTGAGCTAGTCTTTTCATCTCTAAAACTGGGCTAGTGATAAGCCCTGTCCTGTCCCAGGGAACTGGGAGGCCCAAACAGACATCCTGAGAGCATCACGGGAAGACCCAGAAAGCTTATAGTCGGTGCTGAGTTTAAGTCCTCACCTCAGTTTTACAAACCCTGGGCTTCACCTCTCTGAGGTCATATTTGATCATTTCCAGGACAGGATAACTAACATCCACCTTGCAGGGTTGTTAGGGTGATAAATGACATAAGTGTCCTGAGAGCCTAATACAGCACATGACACACAGCAAGTCCTCCAATCAGGGCTGAGTACTTGTGAAATCTAAAGTGTTGTAATGATGTTATTTATCTGGGACTGGAATTCAGACATTATTTGAAAGAATCAGGTTGCTAGGTTGATGTGAAACTTGCTTTTTTTTCAGGTAGAGATACAGTAAGAAAAAAATGAGTAGGCTCTTCAGCCCTAGAGGCTTGCTGCCTGCTCTGTGAGCACTAGTGGGGGAGCACGCTCATTACATTCTCAAGGGTGGTAGAGTAGTGAATTCAGCCATGGGGGGGGGGGGG